GTTTTAATGTTGACATAGCTCTGAGAATTTAAATGCATTTAGAACTGATCTTTGCAATGCTGGTATTTCCTCTGCCATTGTATTCTCTTATGAAGAGTTGATCAACTGACCCCCAGTCTGAGAACCCTAGCACCCAGAGCTGAATACTTCGAAGCCCTACAACTGATATTGATGCCACTGTTATGGAAACTCTCACAGGCACTTTCAAAGAATCTATCATCACATGATACACAAGGCAATGTAGGCCATTTGCCTGGTTAGACTCCAGCAGTCTGCGAACCCACACTCTGGGACCAACAATCCTCAGATGTTTCCAACCTGTGCCCAGTATTTTTTTCTGGGTTTAGATAAACAAGAATGTGTCCCTCTGGGTAAGAGAGTGTGCATTCCATACAAAACAAACGGAAACCACACATGTGTGGAACTCTCAGTATTTAGTTTGGAGACTTTTAAGCATGGATTTCTCAATGGGTTTCCGGGTGTTTCAGACTGAATTTTGACTTGAATTTTACAAATACCATCAGTCCCAATGATTAGTTGTGTAATCAAGATGTAACCTTCCCCACCCCACAAAAAACTCAAATCCTTTGCTAACTGAAGTATCGGTAAACCTGCATAGAACCATTGGGGGTTATTCACTGAATAAAGTGGAGTCCTGTAGCTCAGTGGTTAGAGCACTCGCTTTGCAAGTGAGAGACCTGAGTTCAATTCCAGGCAGGGCGAAACCTTGGGCAAGTTTCCTTACTCCACACGCCTAATAATAATCCCTCCAAAAAAAAACAATAATTAAATTGTTCATTTTCAATCTACGACTGTTTGTGGGACATTGCTGTGCGCAATTGGCTGCCGCGTTCGCCCACAAATATACAGTCAATTCACTTTACAGTGTGTTCTGTGAAGCGCTTTGGGACGTCCTCCCGACGTGAAAAGCGCTATATCAAATGCAAGGATTATTATTATTATTATTAAAGTGAGTTCATAATTCCATTCTATTCCTTAAATCTAGAGAATTTGTGCTGTGAGGTTATGATGACAACTTATATTGACAACTAATGACATTTTATATTCTATATATTCAACCAATATTGATAAAAATGAAAATGCATACATTCCGTATTATGAAATCCATGTTAATATTCATATTCATTCTTATTTTCAAAAAGATCTTTTTGCAGTAAAGCAATATTTACTCTAAAGAAGCAATTTTATGAACAGAAACAAAGGACTGAATTCAGTTTAAATGAAATTCTCTAAATACGATCATTACTCAACGGTGAACTTTGTGTGTAACACCTTGGAATTTATTCTGCAAACAGAAAAGTGTGCTTTCCATAAACTCCAAACCTCAGTTACCGTGAATGTTTTCAACTTGTCGGAGGTGACGTTTGTTGGATGACACATTAAGCTGAGGTCCTATTTGCCGGTTCAGGGGGACAAGTGAGATCCAATGGCACTACTCGCAAAGGGAAGAGAGGTTCTCCACGTTCTGGACAACAATCCACCAGATAAAATTGGTCATTCGCTTCATGGCTGTTTGTGGGACTGTGCACTAATTGCTGTTGCGTTTGCCTACAGTATATAATCACTACACGTTACATTAAATTTCTGTGGCTACGTCTCTACGATGTGATTTGGCACTATATCAAATGCAAAGATTATTATATGTTCATTGTCTACAAAGGTTAAAATGTTGCAAAGTATTTTCAAGAGTTTTGAAAATATTCAAGTGAAAATCCTGTAGATCACATTTTTGATACTTCAAACAATGAATTAAGGGGGCAATGATTTTTTTGGCCAGCTGGGTGTTTGACAATATTGAAGGAAACTGATCACTGTGCTTAAGAGTATCCAAACCAACAGAGTTCCACATATGTATGTTACCTACACATGGAAATTTCTCGGTATCTGGAATGAAATGCACACTTCTCTGCCCGAAGATTTTCCTGGTTCCAGAGATCAGATTGGCAAAAAACTAGGCTTGGGGCTTCCAGAGTGTGAGTTGGAGTACTTCTGGTGTTTAACCAGTTAAAAGTGCGTAGGTTGCCATTCAGAGCAATGTCTTGCAAATGTCTCACTGATTGTCCAGCTAGAACTACCCATTAGTGTTTTGACTTGTAGGGTTAACAGGAGCCGAGTGGAAAAAATGGGTCAATGAAACATTTTAAATTACATTAACTGACTGGTTTATAATCTGCAAATACACAACTGCTTTCACAGGTATATACATATGCTTATGTACTGCAGATGCTTTCTCTTGGTATCATCTTACATGTCTTATGTATCATCAATATGGACGAGAAACAATTTTGTAACATAGCTATCAGTAGCAAAGTAAAAGGCTGACAAATGTATGTAGATCAGTTTGTCACTTGGCTTTGAGATGCTGTTTATAGAAATAAAATAAGTTTCTGTGCACGATTCACTAAAGCTACTGCACCTTTAATCTTTAATAACGGGTTTAAAAATGCCAAACAACAGCACATTTGAGTGGTATGAACTTTACCACTTCCATTAGTTGGATCCATTTTTCATTAAACACTTTGCTTCTTGTGCTGGTTTTAAATTTGTTGTGAACTGTAGCCAACGTGATATTCACTGGTCAAATCCTTGGTTGCCACACTGAACTTGTTTGTGATTTAACTGTAGCTCTGCATTAAGAATTCATGATGTTAGATAAATAGTCACAGTAAGATTAAGGTCACCAACTATTGAAGACTCATGTAAAGTGTAACAGCTTTATCTTCTATGTTCTAGCGCTCTCAATCCAATTGAGTGAGCAAAAGCCTTTAACTTTGACATTTTAGCATTAAAGGCGTAAAGGAATAATTTCATAGTTCAGAATGATATGAATAACAAAAATGATAATAATAATAATCCTTGCATTTGATGTAGCGCCTCTAACATCAGAAGGATGTCTTAAAGTGCTTTGCAGGATTTACTGTAAAGTGTTATGATTATATATTTTGTAGGCAAATGCTGCAGCCAATTTGCACACAGCTAAGTTCCACAAACAGCATGATGTGAGTGATCAATTTTATTTGGTGAATTCTTGGCCAGGACAATGGACCCTGAAGCACTCCTCTCTTTTCGAGTTGTGCAATAACATCCACCTGAACAGGTTGCTGGGACCTCATTTAACTTCTCATCTGGCAATGCTGCACACCTCCAGCACTGCAGAGATGATTTAAGTTCCAAATCTCGAGGTGAGACTTGAACCGACTACCTTCTGCCTCAGAGTGCTACCAACTGAGCCAGGCTGATGCACTATTTCGCTATTCAACACAAAACCGCCCCCTCTTCCCAGATGTTCAATACCCACCGCTCCCTAAAAAAAAACACCTTGATGCATTATCTTAAGAAAATACACTTTAAAACTAAACAGAATGATTTATTTATTTGTGTGGCCAGAATTAAACAAATGCTTTTTTAAAATAAATTTGCTGTCTTTGAAGTAGGCATGAGGTTGAGTTTTTTTGCAATATGGCTGCAAAGACTTACGTGATAATAGCTTCTTCCCTGATACCCCTCATAACACTGGATGTGTGAGTGCGTGTGTGTGCCAACACGGTCAAGGCATGCAAACTGATGTAGCTCAGCCATCAGAACAGGGGGATCATTAGCAAAGAGTGAGTCATTGAACAGGAATATGGGAGACCGACTTCAAACAGCTCCTTTCATCCATCATTTACCAATACGAACCAGAAATCAAAGAAAAGGTAAAGTCAAAGAAAAACCCTAAGCATACGGTTGTTCTGCAATAAAATAAATAAATGTAGATTTCGCGAAAAAAAGGAAACGTTTCCTTCTGCACTTGCCAAAGAGCACATTTATGATCAAAGATTTTACTGCAGCCCCAAAATCAAGACTGCTGTCACAGCAGCCCTCGCATAACATCAAAATATTTCCAAAATTTTGACTGCATATTTTTGATAAATCTTGAGATGACAGATTAATATCGAAATGCTCAAAGGAATATGAGGAATGGCACAGCAGTGAACTATAATAATAGACCTTGCATTTGATATAGCGTCTTATCACATCGTTGAGACGTCGTAAAGTGCTTCACAGGATATACGGTAAGGTGAATTGACTGTATAGTTTGGGAGCGAACTTCTATTTTAGTTTATGTTTTGTGTAAATTATATTTTGGAACATGTGACTTTCTTTGGTCTTTAACAACTCTTCGGTTGTTATCTTCATCTTTCAGACTGCCTGGCTCAAGCTAGCTTCCATCTCATGCAACAGGTTCAAAGATAGTGTAGGCCAGGCCTTGTCAGTTGCTCTTCATTTTTTCTTTGAACAGCTTAACGCAATAATGCATTCAAACTTGCTCTTTCTGAAGGACCATTATCACTTATCACTATCATTATTTGAATATTTCCTTTATAATTTACTGCAGAAATGTTCACGATCTGAATCCATTTACAAATAAAAATCTGAAGTTAATTTTGTTTCCACACTCCACAAGCCTAATAATAATCTCTCAAGAAAAAAATAATAAATTGGTCACTTCAATCCACTACTGTTTGTGGGACACTGCTGTGTGCAATTTGGCTGCCGCATTTCGCTCACATACAGTCAATTCACTTTTTAGAAAAAAAAATCTAATTTCTAGTCATTACTCCACTAATCCTTAAAGCTTCTCAGCAAAGAGGGCAGAATTTTGGAAATAATTTGGAGTTTCAGATTGAACATTCGGAGTCGAGGTTAATTCTCAGTTTCGACTGTAGCCTCTAACCTTCACCTTAGTGATAAAGGTTACTATTGGCAAGAGTGTGTTGGTCACACAGGCACCAAGACATTGCTATGTAAGTACGACACTGATGGGAAAATCTACACATCTTTTGTGAAAATGATTTCCACTAAAAAAATATTATTTGCGCTCTTCTCCGTAAGTAGGGGAAACGTGTGAAAAGCATATATGGGATGTGGAAGAAATGATAAACTTCCAATGGATTTATTAAAGGGAAATCATTTATTAAAGGAAAATTGGTACTTACCACCCCCATAGAGAAATAGTTGTTCACGATACTGTATGGCACCGGATCCCCCTTTTCATCTTTGTTGTTTGGTATCACCTCTATGCTCCACCTGTCCAACATCACTTCTGTACTGTTTTCTATGTCTTTGAGAACTTTCATTAAATTTCCACCTTCGTAACCTTTACCAAACAAACACAAGGGTTAGCTCAAAGTGCTCTCTGCCACCCACCAGACTGAAGCAAATGTTCTGTTCAGATTCCCAAAGCACTTAGGATTTGAAGATGGAACACCCAAGTACGTATTTACATTGGAGCCTTTCGACTAGTAGAATTTTACTGAAGTCACAAGTGTAAATTATCCATATTAATACACAGTGGAAGAAATCTAATACAACTGATTCAGCGCTGTCTTAAAACCAGTGTAATTCTAGTGTAGCTAGATTACCACATTTTGCTTTGATCTTTGAAAACAATTCTGAAGACTTCAGTCGAGGTGTAGCTCTGAACATTACTGAGAAATCCTTACTGGTAGGATATAGAGACAAAGTAAATGTAAATAATGAAAGTAAAACTGTTGCCTACATCACCCAATGATGTGTTTGCAATATTTATTCATAAGATAGAAATCATTGGCGCTGGAGGGGAAGAACTAGGAAATGTTGTAATCTTGCCTCCTAGCTTTCGTTGAATAACATAAGGAACCCTTTTTAACAGGAAGAGTACAGTTTCAGTTGAGCAGAGGGAAGCAGTGGGAGCAATTTCTGTTAGCAAAGACTAGGCCATAAAAAAAACATTAGTCAGAGAAACAAATTAATATTATGCATTATTACTCAAGCCAATGTAGTCATCCTTAAAAATACAATTTGCAGAGTACAGTAAATGACAGCTGCAGGGTATAAATTCTTACCTCCTCCCCACCGCAGACATCTCGCCAGATCATTCCCAGTACCCAATGGCAACACGGCTACCGGTGGATGTTTTATTAGATTAATTTTATCTGAAATAGCATCAATAGATATGGAAGGGTCAGTGAAAATGGAAACCAGGTTACTGCGGCACAATAAGGTGAATGCGATGAACAGTCTGCAGAATGCAACGCTCTGAGATGTTCAACATGATAAACGCTAATATGAAATGCATTAACAACAACAACAACTCACACTTATATAGTGCTCTCCACACAGGGTAGCGTCTCAGAGTGCTAATAATATTAATATTATAACAATAAGACTTGCATTTGATATAGTGCCTCATTATATCTTCGAGATGTCTCAAAGCACTTCACGGAATATATTGTAAAGTAAATTGACAGACAATTTTGTGGGTGAAACCCGGCAGCCAATTGTGCACAGCAAGGTCCCACAAACAGTCGTGGATTGAGTGTGCAAATTATTATTTTTTTTTGAAGGGATTATTAGCCCCGGTAAAGCGATCCGCCAATCGACTAACAACTGATTATTATTATTACTTATTGCTTGGTAAACAGAGGCTTGTGGAGTAAGAAAATTTGCACAACGTTTCGTCCTGCCCAGGAATCAAACCCAGGTCCTCTCGCTTGCGAGGTGAATGTTTTAACCAATACGCTACAGAACTCCATGTTATAGCTAACAACAAGTAAAGAGCTCTTGTGTTTGGGTTTAGATGTTTACAATTTAGTTAATAATAATCCTTGCATTTGATATAGTTCCTTATAACAAAAATGTACACAGTCACTACACTTTACAATTGATCCTGTGATGCGATTTTGGATGACGTGAAAAGCGCCATACCAAATGGAAAGATTATTAAGGATTAATTAGTATTATCACATCATTAAGACTTCTCAAAGCACTTCACAGGATATACTGTAAAGTGGTGTGACTGTGTATTTTGTAAGCAAACACATTAGTTCTTTGGAACAATGGAACTTTACCATCAATCATGTGGTTCATGCAATTTTATAATTGTCTCTCTGGTAATAGCAAAACAATAGTAATAATCCTTACATTTGATATAGCATCTCATCACATTGTCAAAACGTTTTAAAGCTCTTCAAAAGCTATACTGCAAAGTGTAGTGACTGTTTATTTGTAGGTGAACTTGGCTGCCAGTTTACGCATAGCAACGTCCTATAAACAGCCATGACGTGACTGACCAATTTTATCTGGGGGTTTGTTCCCTTCTCTTTTCGAATGGTGCCATGAGATCTTTAATGTCCACCTGAACAGACAGACGGGACCTCAGTTTAACCTCTCACTGTAATGGATGTTATTCTAGACCAGAGGTTCCCAAACTTTTTTTGCTGCACCCCATTCAGAGATTCATGCCCCATGCTCACCCCCTCTTTCCAAGAAACAGTATTTTTGTATAGATTAACATGATTTTATTTTCTCGTCTAATATAACATATTTCTTGAGACACAAAGCAACATAAATAGCACATTGCAACTATTCTAGTACTTAGGCCCTACATTTCCTTTTACAACACATGTATTTACTGTAAAAAAAGCAACTAATATTTAATAATAAAAAACACTTACCATTACATTACATAACAATACACTTATCTCCCACTCCGACTCTCTTCCTGTGGCTCTCCGCGTTGTCTTTTGCCTCCCACTTGGACTCTGTTCCCATCAGTCTCCATGTGGAGAGCGACAGGGAGAGAGTCAGCGTGGAAGGTTGAGTGCTCTGAGATGCTACACTGAGTGAGGGGCACTACAGAAATGCAAGTTGTTGTATGAGGCAGTGTGGAGAGCGACAGGAAGAGAGTTGGAGCGGGAGGTAGGAAAGAAATATAAGAGAAAGAAAAATAGGTAGAATTTCTACGAGTAGGATACATTTGATTAAATGTCTTTTCAAGATATTTATACATATATTTAACAAAGTAATTTTTCTGAATGTTACAAGTACCAATACAATCCAGTATCCATCCAACTGTTCCATCACCTCCACAAGCTAGGATTCGAAAATCATGGACATCATGAAAAAAATTTAATCTGAAAAGGTAAACGATGTGTAAGTTATCACATTCTTACGGACTTTAAATCCACTGAGCACTGGGCCCAGATATGAATAATTATACTGTGTGAAAGGAAATGCTGATACAAGGCAATTGATGCTAAATATAAAATCCATACATTTTTCACACATACCAATATTGTAGAAGAAAAACAAGTCAACCACCTAGGTTCAGTTTGATCCAATCTCAATCAAGCCTATCATACCTGATTGACCAAACAATTCTATTGCACTGCTTACTGCCACTTTATGGCTTCAAGTGTTGCCACGCTGCAATGAACGTAAAGTATGGAATGAGATCTGTCCTTCGAGCCCGCTCATTCAACAAGCCACAAAAAAATTACCTACCTACCCTGTCACATGTATTTCAATTCATTCAAGTCAATTCACTTTACAGTATATTGTGTGAAGCGCTTCGAGACACCGGAAAGATGTGAAAAGCACTATATCAAATAGAAGGATAATTATTATATCAAATGCAAGGATTATTATTATTTCCCTCCAAAGAAGACTCACACTCTGTCCTGACCCCAGCAACACCCTATGTCCATGAGTGTATCTGCCATCCTCATTCTGCATTTTTCCCTATAAGCCTCCACTAATGTCCACATGTAAAATAAAATACTGGAATGACCTGGATGTCAGTTTGCACATTAACCACTGAGTTGCTGAGAGCAATGCAATTATTTTGGGGATTCAGCAAAGTAAATAACAGAAGCAGCATGCAACAGAAAGCCGATTTTTGACATATCTCAGATTTTTCTCCAGAAAGCAGTCCTTTATATATAAAAATATACAGTCTTTTCAGAAACATGTGGCATTTCAAAAGTAAGTTGAAAAAAAATCTCTTTGCTCTCTGCGGGTCCAGGCAACAACTTGTGCATTTTTTGATGTTCAAAGGCTCTTGGTAAATTGTGTGAAGACCCGGTCTATCTTTCCCTTTTATGTTGTTCCTTACAAGCTGTGTTGTGAAACACAAAAAGCAGACTTTCGAATGACTAAGCTGAGAATGCAGCAATGCACGCTGAGGTTTGGTCGAAAGGAGTTTTGCAGATGACCAAAATATTCATAATAATGGATTTCATAATATCGCTGATGGTTAAAGTTTCATTGTAATATTTCTAGACTCAACTAACAACAATATTATTTTCTAAAATTACGCAAATGTAAAACCTTAGGATTCTACACAAGAGTTTGAAGGTTTCAACAGTCATCTGCTATCAGTTTACTATTCGCAGGATGTTTATGGTATTGTTATTTGGGAAAGTTCAATACATTTCACTGGAATGCATTAACCTTAAGGCTGGGTTTCCATTGCATGTTCAATGGAAGTGTTGCACAATGGGCAACCCTTTTACCCAACTGTGCCTTTGGGCCTGTTTTCAGTATCTACTTGGAGAGTGGGAAATTTAACTGACTTTTCCACTCCACCTCATGTGCTGCCTAGAAGGAAATGGCAACACACGTTGCATCAGACAAAAATGGCACATCAAGTCCTGTGATGCGCTCCACGAGCTATCTCTTGTTTTTGTAAATAAGCTCAGTCTAGGAACGGCACTTTAGTTCTACGCTGGAGGGATGCTGTGTTGTCGGAGGGGCCAATAAACCAAGGTCCCGTCTGCCTGTTAAAGTGGACAATAAAGATCCCATTTGAAAAGACAAGAGAGTTTCTTCCAGTGCCTTGGCCAACAATCTCCCAGATATTACAAAAGGTCGCAGCTGTTGTGCTCAAATTGGCTGATGCATTCACCAACAAATACATTAAACTTTATATAAAACAACTCTGTGGAGCACTTTTTATATGTTTCAACCGACTAGGCACTATAGCAAATGCAAGGAGGGTTATAAATTAAAAGTGCATGTCTGAAATGTGTGCCAAACCTAACTGATGTTGAAAAATCCTGACATCTTTCATTGCAAAACTATTATCAGCTAACATCATTGATTAAACTGAGTTTGCTTTGTGTTAATAGAATGATTTCTTTAAACAGGGGCATGCTCGAATAGGCTCTAGAACGCAGAGCAATGTATATGCCCCTGAACTATGACTCTAGCCCACACAGGGCTCCACTGCACCATTTAAATTACATCACAGGCACGAAGCTGTGAAAGGTTCAACATAAGCGTTTATTCATATTTCATGAATGTTACAGCAAATAAACTGGGTTTGAGGCAGAAGGTTTGTTTCTCAGGACCAAAAGAATTGAGGGGGATACTGGATACGTTCTTTAAACAAAGATAACTGGCCAGCTTTTTTGTTCAATGCATTTCTAGTTATATACAGTTTATAAAAGATATCATTTTTCTATCATGGTTAATAACATCCCAGATCAACGAGTGAGGATTTAACAAAGAAACGTGCTGAATTTACAGCATAGGTAATGAATGCAGTTACGGAATATCAAACAATTAGCTGCACATTGGCTACTGAGTAGATTTTTGTTGATAAAACATTTGAGACATATAAAACCAGTTTAGTTCAGCAAAATAAATTCATCTCATTGTCACTGAACAATGATGATTTTTCAGGCTAGAGACACTTTGAGAACCGTAATCAGTGGGTCAAGAGGTTCTTGGACACAGATTCATTAGTTTAGGCTTTTCTATTCAAATATTCCCTCAAACACCAATGTCAAGGGGAGACTTGAAATGGACCAATTTTTGTAAAGTAACTGGATGGTGCTTTAGCTGAACAGTGTTGCATATTTGTGGTGCCTCAAGTATGGTTTCTAATTAATCTGGCCAGAAACAAACCTAAATGGCTGAAGGCTACCTCATCAGAATGACACCGAGCATCAAATTGGATCTTCCAAGTTCAAACAGGAGTCGACACGGTGCAGGCTCAACTACCATGCAAACTTCTGGACTATTAGAAAATAAACATAAACCCCGAAAATGAGTGAACTCAATCCAACGATTTCTCTCCTGGACTTGTGTGAACAAAATTGGATGTTTTCCCCAATGTTTAGCAACCCAGGTCGATGGGTGTAGGACAGGGTGGGGCACAGCACCATATTTCTTTACACCTAATATCGCATTGATGGGACACCCGAACTCAGCTTGATATACACAGATAATTTCAGGCAAACACTGAATGGCAGTGTGGTGATGCGACATGGTGACTGTTCTGCTCTGATCTTTGCGTGCATTTAAAAATGCTCGAGGACCTCAGCAATGTGACCATGGCAGAGCTTGGACCAACACTTGGATTTAGGTCTGACAGAATGACTCCAAAGATGAGTAGAAACTTTGGTACACTCACTCAAAGTGAATGCCTGGCAATGCTCCAACCCAAAAGCTTGGGTTGAAAGTTAAAAACAAGTGCACTGCTTGCAGCATTAATTTTTTTTCCCCACAAAAGGTGCTTTTAAAACACATCAAATAAATTCCTATAAGAATGCCAGGAAGTTGCACAGGATGTGATATGGCACTTTGGCGGTGTCTCAGGAACAGATCTGAACAAGTGTTTCAATGAGAACAATTTGATAAATAATCATCAAACCAATGTATAAGTCAATACATTTAGTCGTTCCTGAGGAAATAAAACATTAACTATTTACGGTACCAGTGTTTAAACTAGACCAAGAAATAGCATAAATGGTTTAAAGTAGATAGGAGGAAGAAATCATTTTAAATACAACCGGAATGGTACAAAAGGAATAAACATAAAAACTTTACTTGTGGATTCAACTAAGATCTGGTAATTCTGTAGGAAGCTAAGACATATTTAACTCCAATGATATTGCACTGCTTTCCTCTTCCAGCTAAGCATGAATACCAACCCTTCTCAACACAGAGTATGTGTTATAATTTTCCATTACCAAAAATATATTCCAGTGTTTCTTCATTCGTTAAGTCTCCTCTTCTTTGCCACTCTTCAAGCAGAAGCAATGAAGTGATCCGCAGAATAAACTACAATACTTTTCATGAGCAGGCATACATCAAACAGATTTTCCACAGCTAATTGCTATCTAATCACCTCAGCTGCACAAGTGCATGCACAAGGCTGGGTAAAACTGACGTTAACACACAAAGTACAGCCACTTGGGCAAGCTACTGAATGGAGTCTCATTGGTACCCAAGGTTCTGTAGCTTAACACAAGTGGTTACCTTCAGGAGTAAGATGGAGAAAATTGGGGAACAAATTCAAACATGAGATTTAATCATAGTCCATTGTTTAAAATAATAACCAGAAAATCACACCTACCCTGGTACAGGGCCACCTCTGTCAAGACTGTAAATTTGTCTTGGATTGAGAAGGTACTGAAATTTTCGGAGAACTCTAGGGAAAAGGACAACCACTGTTACCACACAAGGGTAATATTATGTAATATTAAACATAACGAGCTAAGAACACAAAGCAAAATGTATTTTTAAGAGACTGGATTTCTTCCTCATGAACTCTGCAAGATGTAACCAAAAGGTAAAACTGCAAAACCTCCTTTTTATTTGAGTCGTGTCATAGGATCTTTAACCCAGACAGACAGACAGACAGACAGACAGACAGACCTCGGTTTAAAGTTTCATCTGAAGGATGAAAGTGCTTCAACAATGCAGTTTTCCCCCAATGCAGTGTGAACCTACACTATAATAATAATACTATTACTAATAAGAAGAATCTTTGTTTTGATATAGCACCTTGTGGAGTCCTATAGCTCGGTGGTTAGAGCACTCGCCTTGCAAGCAAGAGACCTGGGTTTGATTCCCAGAAGGGCGAAACCTTGGGCAAGTTTCCTTACTCCTTATGCCTGATATCAATCTTTCAAGAAAAAAAACAATAATAAATTGGTCACTTCAATCCACGACTGTTTGTGGGACACTGCTGCGTGCAATTGACTGCTGCGTTTCGCCCACAAATGTACAGTCAATTCACTGTACAGTATATTCTGTGAAGCACTTTTAGATGTCTAGAAGACGTGATATCTAGAAGACGCGCTATATCAAATGCAAGGATTATTATTATTATCACAGCGCCAAGACATCTCAAAGGACTTCACTGAATTTACTGTAAAGTGTAGTGATTATGTATTTGTAGTCGAAGGTGCATGTTTGTAGTTGAATATATGTATGGGTACAAAGACCCAATGTGAGGCCCAAACTGACTCAGAGGTGAGAGTGCTACCAACTGAACCAGTGCTTTTTTAATCTGGTTGAACAATATTTTTTAAAAAAAATTACCTTTCTCCTTGCCTTCCACCACTTTTTGGATTCACAAGCACCAGTAGTGGATGTGTACCAGGCACAGATGTGATCTGTAAAATAAAGAATACTGAAAATTTTACTCTGTAAAGGTCCAGTAACCATAGTATAATGCATTGATCTGCTACTGTATGTCAGGATCTTAACCAGTTAAACAAATGGTTCAAGAAACAGCAGATTTTAAAGTGGATAAATATAAGATAATGGTTATTGGAATAGGAGCATACAGTATTCATTCAAAAAGGCACAAATAATGGAAATCATTGAACATCTCCAATTGATGCAAAGATACAATGAATGAAGCTATTCAACACGTCATTCTAACATTGTATAGATCATTAATAAGGTCACATCTGGAATACTGTGTGCAGAAAAGTTAGAGGAATTAACAATTCAGAGAGATTATAGCCAGGCTAATTAATTTTGACAGCAAGTAAGATAGTTTTAAGAATTTTTTTCATCCAATATGGAATATGGTGTAAGCAAGAGTTGAGACAATATCTAAATTTGCCTTCAAGGGGGAACCAGATAGATAGCTTAAAGAGAGTCAATTACAGGGGTATAGGGAAAGGGCAGCCAAGTGGGACTGAAAGGATTGCTCTTGAGGGAGCTGGCACAGACAAAATAGGTTTCTGTGCCATAAATTTCTATGGTTCTAAATACAGGATGAGAGGAAAATGTTTTCCTGCTTTGGGGGTGTGCGGGAACACTGGTTTGCACAATCTGCATCAACTTCTGATGAAAGTCTAATCGGTACATCAGACGAGACTAGAAGGGAAAAATAAATAGGCTTGGCTTGCTCACTCCGGGTAAAGTCTACAGCTCCAAGACCGTGTTTACCTCCCCACTCTGGGGGGGGGGGGGGGAGGGAGAGAAGTCAGCTGATTAGATGATTATTTGGGGAGGATAAGTTTGCACAGCTATGGGGAGAGAGCAGGCGAGTGGAATTGACTTGGATAGCTCATTTCAAAGAGCAGGTACTGACATAATGGGCCGAATGGCATTTGTTGCACATTCAAGGCAGCTCACCAGTGAAAGAAATAAAGCTCTTTCGCAGTTCTCATGCTTCCCTCTCGTATGAATGTAACATTACAGGGCAATTTCTAATGCTCTTTCAATGAGCAGAACAGACTGAAAACATGTGTGCTATAAATGACAAATCTGAATTAATCCACCTTTAGTGCTTTATCTCTGAGCTGAGAAAAAGTGAACCTGACAGGTGGGATTTATGGGTTGATCTGAATTGAACCCAATTACCTGTTGACAACAACAAAATGAATTCAATTGTTCAGTAAGAGAAAACATTTTATTTTGTTTATATTTTATTTTTATATTTTATTTATATTTTGTACGCAATTGCTTGCTGTGGTGTTTCGCCCACAAAATATAGTCAAATCAATACACTATATTCTTTCAAACACAGATTGAAGTGTTGATTCTTTCAAACACAGATTAGATAGTTTTCTTTTAAGAAATAACATTATGGGATATAGTACATAGGTAGTTTGGGACATGTGTGCATGCAACCGCCAGGAAGGTGGAAGGTGAACTAGATGGACCTGGGTCTTTTTTCCTCTAGCATTTCTTATGTTCTTATGTTATGTTTTTAAGCACTTTGAGATGTTCCAATGACGTGATACGGCGCTATATCAAATGCAAATATTATTATTATTATTAAATGGGGTGTCTGTGCGCATGAGTGTACACCATACACCATCTTAAAGAAAAGATTCGTAACAGCACAAATATAATTAGCATTTTCTAGAATGTACAATCTAATGTGCTCTTTGACAAGTTGTCCCTTGAATGAAATTTTTTAATGTGACCACGATCATGTGTCTCGGACGATAATGATTAAGCAATTCTATAGCATCTATATAGCTCCCTTCATTGTGATCCAATTTGTGAAAATCAAAAAAGGATTTGTAAGTTGGGAAAGTGTGTCAGCCAGAGGAGGCTCTTGGTGTCCAGCAGGAAAATGGTGTGAAAATGAGCAAAGTTCCTCTCGGAAAAATCACGAATCAGGTCAATTCCGTTCCTCTCCCTTTGCCAGAATTTGTGTACTTTCCAAAAGGAGTCACTGGACAGTAGTGGCATTTATGGGTAGTTAAAATCAAGCTGAGCAGCTACTTTTCCAATTCAGATGACTTGACTTGTTCCATGGACCATAGCATGAATGCTTGCCAGGAAATGTAATGGCTCTCTAAGCTATAATGAATGTCAGATTCGCAGCTTCATTAACATTTAATTGGCCACACTTCAGTTGCTTTGCTTGTACTCTCATGGTTGTAACACAACTTTTAAGAAGTCTCTTCGATGTGAACATGGCCCAATTGCAATGGTGACTCAGTATCAATATGAATGTTAGTATTAAAATCAGATTTGTTGTCGTTATGTGAGTTCCATGATAAAACAAACTGAGTTTCTCTTTAAGAAGTTCTATTAGGTGTATGGGATAATGCACAGTACCTGTGTGTATGTGTATGGTGTGTGTGCGTGTGTACTGTGTGCATAGTGTGCGTGTAGTGTGTGTATATATGTGTATGTGTGTGTGCAGTGGGCCTGGAGACATTCCATCCACCCCTGCTTGGAGTCATTCTCATCATCACGTTAAATATCACAATCACAGTCAGACTTTTGTGCATACATGAAACACTAAGAGATTTTTCTGTCAATTTCCCCTTGCCAAATAACTGCAAGGGAATGCGGGTAAAAGAAAAACATTTTGTTCCCAGCATTTCTTCTCTCCTTTTCCCCACCCCCGCACCCCCAACCCCGAGATTCTCCGACCATTATGTGATGAGAGGAAATCACAAAGTAAACCTCTAACACCTTTTCACATATGTTTGAACATCTTCAGGATTCTCACACAATGATGTCAAGTGCGCACAGATTCAACAACAACAACAACAATATAACAAATCACATTTATATTGCGCCTTTCACATCAGGAGGGCATGCCAAGGTATTGGACAGTCAAGGGTTTGCACCTCCAAACCTCTGAAGCAGGCGGTTCCCAAAGCTCTTGAGGTGGTGCAAAAACTTCTACTTCAGAGATCCCTGAAAATCTCAATAGAAAGGCAGCGTAAACTACACGGACTTACGTTACACAGTGGAGGATATGCACTTGAACGTGAAAGCACTCATCTTTGCACAGGCAGTAAAGATAATGCAGCAACCTAGAGCACTGAATGAAAATCGTGCATGGCATGCTGTAATGTATGAAACGATAGCACACAGGAATACAACAAAGGCAGGAAAGCTTCACCACAGAGTCATAAACAAGGTATTCAGACCACAGAGATGAGATAACGCCGCAGAAGACTGTGCTGTGCAACAGATGTCTCTCCCCCGCCCCCGACAGAAAGTTTATCCAATAGTTTGTAATACCAAAGCAACCCGTGGAAACCTTAGCTCCATAATGAATGAGCCTTTGATTTGATTTCTGTGTCAATTGGAAGTTAATAGTACGTAGAAAGATTTATTTGCCATAAGCCAGGGTGGTCCAACCTTTCGGTTGCTGAGGGCTGGATGCCAGATTTGAGAAGTATCCACGGGCCAAATAAGTAAGATTTTATCCTGATTGCCCTGCTGCCGGGAAGAGCCTGAGCCCCTGGTGATTGTCTTCTGATTGGCTCAGTGCCTGCGTGTCGCCTGTATTTGCTTATCAGACAATGAAGTAGGAAGTGGTTCGCGGGCCGGATGAAATCATCTCCCTGGGCCAGATGTGGCCCAGGGGCCACCAGTTGGACCGCCCTGCCATAAGCTGTTAGATGGTGATTGACAGTGACAGGTGGGATCTTCTCAGCCTACCTGGAGCCCCTGTCCGTCCACCGTTGTGGTGTTAAATTTGAAGGCCTGATTGTTATCATCTGTACTTGTGCTTGTTGGTGAATCACTCTCCGCCTTTTTCTGGTTGGGCTGCCTATCCTTTAAAACAGGAATCAAGAGGAATAAAGCAAATTTGATTGTTTCTTAGGCTGCTCTTAAAGCCCTTTTCTTTGGCCACTGGTTTTGATTTATTTAAAGCTTTATCCCACATGTTTATCTACAAAATACACTTCTGAAAAGAGGAGAGTTTCTCCCGTGTTCCTGGCCAACAGTTCCCCAAATATGTAAACTGACCGCTGTGTTTCCTTACAAATACACAGTAACTACACTTTACAGTGCATCATGTGACCAGCTTTGAAATGTCCTCCTGGAGTGAAAGCCGTTTTATCAAATGTAAGGATTGTTATTATTATTATTAATTACACTTTACATTAAATCGTGTGAAGCGCTTTGAGATGTCCTTCCAACATAAAAGGCACAACATCAATGTAAGGATTGTTAGGATTCATTTTTATTTAATACTTTCTTCACTTTTGTGCTCCCATTTTCTGATCAGCTGATTTCAAGGTCAGCACCTTGCCCTGGGAGAGAAAGAACTGAACTGTAAGCACTACTCAAGTGACTTTTGGAGGCAAGATGGACAGAGAGTGTGTTCCTTTCCTCGTGATGCAGTGCCCTTTATAGCAAACTGGTTGACCACATATCAATTTGCAAGTCAGCAGGTAGCCATTTGCTTACAAATACAATCACGGCTCTTTATAGTAAATCCTGTGAAGTGCTTGGAGACATTTCAACGATGTGATAAGATGCTACATCAACTGCAAGATTATTACTACTACTGCTGATTGACTCACACTGCACCATAACATTATGTACCTGAAAACCAATTTGTATTCTTTAACTTAGTGTATTATGATGAAAAAAACACACACGTGTTGAATAAGTTAATAATAATCTTTGCGTTTGATACAGGGACTTATCACATCATCGAGCTGTCTCAAAGCGCTTCACAGGATCAACTGTAAAGTGTGTATTTTGTGGTCAAAACGGGGCAGCCAATACACATAGCAATGTCGCACAAACAGACATGGAGTGAGTGACCAATTCACTCACGCTGTACTTATTATGTTGCTTTTCATTCACTAACATAAAAGACCTATATCATCACTTTCCTGACCTTATCTGTTCTGAGAGTTTAAGCACATTGAGTAAACTGGGCTGTTTTAAAAAATAAAGTAATGAGAGTAACTGAAGGAGAGTTTTTGACACCTTAAGTGTTACAAAGGCAGGTATCGGGAAAAAACCGAAGAAAAAATAATTCTTCGGTTCCATTCATCTCGCTCACTTGCTCATTCATGATCTTCACAAACTATTTCCTCCCCCTCCCACCGAACCTGTTATCCTCCACTCCCTGCTGAACTAAAGAGACAGCGTTCACTGCAGTAGGTGCCATTTCTTTGCATAAACCAACAAGTCTGAATAGGTGAATTCCTCCTGTGAGTGTGAACTCAGACACTACTCCTGAAGTTATATTCTGTCTGTATTTTTTTGTAAAAGAGAGATATGCATCATTTCCTCTGGTTCTCTTGTCCTGGCTCCACACAAAAGATTCTCCATTTCCACATTATTAATTCCTTCTGTCGTTTTAAAACTTGGATAGCATTCGCCCGTTACAAGTTTCAGGTTTTAATTAAGACGGGCTGACCGCCATTGGTTTTATTAGGACCTAAAACCATGTTTGCTACCCTTATTTGAATCCTGTCCAATTCCTTTGTATCCTTTTCTCTGAACAGCCACCAAAAGTTGAAACAATCTTCCACTTTGGGGGGAAAAAATAATTCTTCGGTTCCAATATATTATTCACTGCATAAATCCATATTAAATATTTGTCTCAATGCCCATGTGTAGCACAATGAGACTGGGAAAGATTGATGCTGCAGTAGGATCCAAGGCAACCATTGAGGGTGAAACAACAGCCAAAAATAATGGTTATAATAATAATCCTTCCATATGATATCCGGCCTTAGTACGTTGTTGAAACGTCTCAAAGCGCTTCACAGGATGCACTGTAATATGGATGGACTGTGTGTGGGCAAAACGTGGCAACCAGTTACGTCCAGCAGTGTCCCACCAACAGCCATGAGTGACCAATATTATAAGGGAATTTATTGGCCAGGACACCAGGAGAAACTCGCTTCTCTTTTCGAATAGTGTCTTGCGATTTTTAACGTCCACCTGAAGAGGCAGACGGGATCTCGGTTTAATGTCTTATCTGAAGGACGGCACCTCCGACATTGCAACACCCCACCTGCACTGCATTGGAACATCAGTGAGTTCAAGTCTCGATGAGGGATTTGAACCCATGTCTTCTGGCTCAGAAGCAAGAGTACTGCTACCAATGAGCCAAACTGACTTTTATATAAAAAAAAGTTTGTGTGCTAAGACACCATTCACACCAAGACGGTTGGAAAAAGCAGCACAAAGAAGTGACATGTTTAGCACAATGGGAAAAAGATCCGAAAAGAATGGCATTGGAAGAATGAAAACTTGGTTTAGGGATAAGACAGTTTGGTGGAAATTCCATCCGGTTCTAGATTTAATGTATTAACGTAGCCTTTAATATTGGAGCCAATTTTCTATAAATTTGTTTAAGAGCCATAGAAAATAGATTTTGAGGTTAAAACCAAATTCAACACGTTGTGGAATGATTGCACTATGCGAGAAATTTGAAACTCGAGAAATCTTACCAGAACGACAGGACAAATATAGGAGGGAAGTAAAATGTGGTCTTTTAGTTGGCCACCGTCACATTCAGGTTTGATATGTGAGGCACATTTGTTGTGAAGCTGCAATAAAAAAAGAAAGAAGCAATAAGCAATTCGACTTCGACGCTGCTCACAGATAATGATAAAAGCAATACAACAACAACAGGATTACATTTGTAGAGCGCCTTTCATGTCGGTATATAGCAAAAAGAACACAGTGGATATAACAAATGCAGCACAAAATAGCGATGCTTGGCTCCTTGAGGCCTGAATGCAGGTTCTCCTAGCTACCCTCCCAGCCTCAGGCAATGCGCAGTTTAAGAAAATAACAGAGCCATTCAACACACTCAAAAAAATAACAAGCACAAAGAGAAACGAGCATAAATATTGAGTCCGGTTCAGGTGTTAAATCCAGCTGCTGGATCTCTTCTGGCGCCAGTTGTTAATCTGTGCAGATAATCAGCCTCTTGTTAGAATTATCCCCAGTGATTCATTGGAAGAAAACCTTCAAAAGACACACAAATATTTGTACAGATACAGTCAATCAAAAGTCCTTACTCATAGATCTATATGAGATGTTCAAACTCCATGTAGACGTTTAACACACATCAACTTGGTGACAAAAACTTTCACAAACAAAATAAAAGACATCTCCTGTAATAGCTGCTCACTCTCTATGAATGTTGTCTGTAAAATAATTAATCATTAAAAACTCTATGAGTGAGGTTTTAATCACCTATATACACACACACACACGTGGAGAGAGAGAGAGAGAGCATTCTGTTAATATAGCTATTTTGTGTGTCAGCTTGGCTCAGTTGGTAGCACTCTCGCCTCTGAGTCAGAAGATTGCAGGGTTCAAGCCCCACATCGGGACTTGGAACTCATTACGTCTAAGCTGCCACTATAATGCTGTGCAGGGAATGTTCTGTATTGTTGAAGGTGAAATGTTGAACCGAGGTCTGCCTCCGTTTACAGATGTAAGTTAAAGATCTCATAACACTGTTTGAAAAGTGAAGGATTTCTCTCAGTGTCCAAGTCAACAATCCACCAAATAACACTGGTTATTTACTGCATCGCTGTTTGTGAGACACTGCTGTGTGCAAATAGGCTAACTTGTTTGCCTACAAATACACAAGACACTACACAAGTAAAATTTGGTCAAGCGCTTTGAGGTGTCTCAAAAAAATGATAAGGCACTGCATCAAACACAAAGTTTATTATTATAACTACATTTTAAAAGAAATGCATGTGTAGTAAATGAGGCCTTGGAATGCATTCTCCACATATCTTTATGATTTGTTTTGGGTCTGGACAGTAGATTCGACAACAGAATCCAAACAATTTTTCAAGTGATTTGTTTGGGTAAAAATGTTATAGCTAGGCTCTTACAAACAATGTGGATAGGTCTGTGGCTCAGCATGCTGCAAAGTTAGCTCTTGCCTTCACTTCACGGAAGGTATTTCATTGTCTGTTACCTGCTGCTTAATACAAACTCAGAACTACAGTAGAAGGTCACTTGGCCCACTGTGTTACTGTCGACTATTGAAAACGCACCTGCCTGCAATTGTTGGGCAGTACAATAGGTATTCAGGGGAATTTCCATGTGTAGTTGGCATGTATGGAACTCTCAATTTGGTATGGATACTCTTAAACATGGTGATGGGTTTGCGCATGTGCTGACCCCAAAAAATAATAGGTATTGGACTTTGCACAATTGCAAACCACAGTGAAGAATACAGAGATGGATCTTATGAAACTCTTCCCCATCCCCCCACCCCCACTCCGGGCATAATAACAACAAATTAATAAATGACATTTGCATTGCGCTTTTCGTTCAGGAGCATGTCCCAAGGTGCTGGTCACGATATTATCTATCTTTCTGCTACCTTTGGCTACATAATGGGCTTAACAGAGATGAATAGAGTTTAAGATAACTGGCAGGAATATAACCACTCAAGATGCTTTTTATACTAGCTACACTGTCTGCAAATGGGGACTGTGAGCTCACTGTTAATTTACAACCAAATTGCTGCAAATGATAAAATAGGGCACAATTATTTATAACGATGGAACTTCAGGAAACTTGCTGGTCGGGGCTGTGAAACAGGAGAGTCAAATTAGGCTGCTATAAATAACTTGTGAATAATCTCCCATTTCTCTCAGTTTATCAGGAAAAACCAGTACGTGTGACAAATAGGTTAATTAAAGGATCATCAGCACCTCTTTTCAAACTAGTTATAAGGTGTGCTCCGTGACTCCCTCTCTAATGTCTCCACATGCAATGAACCGGAGCAGCTAATGCAATACCTGTAGGATCAGAACCTGTGCAGTTGGTCTAAAATGGCTTCAGAGTACACAGGGTCATTGTATGGACAGGTGTTACTGTATTGTACAATCCTACTTTACTCTTTATTAATGAATCAGAAATCTCAGAAACGCTAGTTACATCTGCTACATTGTGCGATGATCGGTTTTCCAATGGCTTGTGCCTTTAGGACCTTCCGTCGCATGTCAAAGCAGAATCCAGAGTAAATACAAGGTGTAAACATAGCAACTCGGTTGAAAGTGCCTCTTCAGGTGGGTATTCACCCCAAACATGTGTTAGTTGGGCTCAGCTGGTAGCACTTTCGCCTCTGAGACAGAAGGTTATGCATTCAAGCCCCAACTCAGTACTGATACTCCAGTGCAATGTTGGGGGTGTGTTGCATTGTCAGAGGTGCCGTCTTTCAGATGTCATGTTAAAACCGAGTTCCTATCTGCCTGTTCAGGTGACATTACCCGAAAAGGAAAGGGAGTTTCTCTTGCTATTCTGGCCAACAATCCCCTGGGTAAAGTTGATCATTCACTTCATGACCGTTTGTGGGACACCGCTGTGTAAAAATGGCTACAGCGTTTGCCTACAAAATATACAGTCACTACACTTTACGGTAAAATCCTGTGAAGTGCCTTGAGACCTCTCGATGATGTGATGAGGTGCTATATCAAATGTAAGGTTTATTATTATTTTCCTATTACTAATACTACTGCTGCCTGGTAGATTGTTCTGACTGCAGATATACCAAGGGCCATGACGGGCTGCTTTTTGCATTTCCCACAGATCACAAGGAACAGCCATAACACGAAAATTGTGATCGAGGACTTGGGAGTTGTTGTGCAGCAGCATGTGCTGCTGATATTTTAGATTCTCCACTTTGGGAGGTCTATTTGAACCAGTTCTGAGGCAACCTGGCTGTTACATGCTGCATCAAACAACCGTGTGGCTGCATTGTAGTCTGGTTCCGAAGTGAGTGCACATTTTCACATAGCATTAAAGCATGCTGAATGTGGTCGCGTCCCATCCTTTGTTGTGTGGTCACGTTGGTCGGGTGCTGTGGACTGAAGCTATCCTTTCCTGTGAGCTGAGCACAACTGGAACCCAGATGAAAACAAAATAAACCAGTAGAGCGAGCTCACTTCACCCACAGAACAATGGACTCTTTAAGCTTCAGAGCAATGCTGCTGACCTTTCCCTGAAAGATGCTGATTCACGCTGGCAAATGGATACCCACCAGTAGCCTCACACTGTGGCTGTTCACACCGTGAACCTTTTAACACGTTACCCCTGTGTCCATTCATAATGCGCTCACCCTAGCCGGTGAATGAAGGCTATGCAGTGGATAATTTCCACTCAATAATAATAATAAATAATCGTTGCATTTGATATAGCCCCTTATCACATCTTCTAGACGTCTCAAAGCAGTTCACAGAATATAGTGTGAAGCGAATTGCTTGTACATTTTGTGGTAGAAGCGCGGCAGCCAATTCGCGTACAGCAGTGTCCCACAAACAGTCGTGGATTAAGAGACCAAATTATTAATAATCCTTAGCTTTGGCCACTGTATTATGCCAAATACGGCTAGAGCTGAGATCAGCTAATGCACCACAGACCAAGCAGTGAACATTCCTGGATTGCAAGGCTCAAACTTCACCAAACTCGGAAAGTTTGCTAAAGCAATTCCTTATTAAAACGGCAGCCACAGCATTACACTCGTCTTCCTCTTTTTTAAAAAAAAATTCAATGAAACAATATGGGGAATGATTTAAAACCGAGTTCGTCTGGATTTGATTCTTAGCTTTCAAAGTATATAGAGTGACAGAGCAAACTGTCTCTTTGAATTAGTCACAGATGCCTTTTATTAATGCCACAAAATGCATTTTTTCAGATGCCATTATTTATCACTTGCTGTCAACCAGAGCTAAAACTTCTCTTAATAATAATAATAATAATGTCTAGAACAGGCTCAGACACAGCAAACACAAACACGCTCAGGATACAAGAATATATGGTAGGTGCGCACTTCAAAGGGAATTATCGAAGATCACAAACACAGAAAACAAACACTGGATCCTACATAATTAATGCTCTGGTGACCACACTTTCCATGAGCCACCCTTGGCAGAAACAACAGAATCTATTTGACTTCAATCAAATTACTAAGCAGCTCTTAAATCTGCTGCTATTTAACCCTCTCCCACTCAGCTGCTGAAAACAGCCTTCAATGTATCTATCCAAAGGCATTTTTCTGAAGAGAATTCCTCCTTTCTACATTTCTTGATCTTTTTTCTTCCTCTCTCTCCTCTTCTCCTTGTGCCAATATATACATGCGCAGGACACACACGCACAATATGTACATATATTGTAAATATATATAATATATATATCTCTAAACATCTCTAGACAAGACAGTATATTTCCAGGCAGCTGAGAACACAACTAAAAGATGCAGTGACTTCAGATAACCCTCTGATTTCCCTCCTTTTGCTGAGAAAAGCAGGATGCATATCAAGGTACCACGTTGTTGGGAGGGGGATGGGAGAAGGGGAATTGTGAATCTTTATCCCACTGCTTCACAGAACAAGGAGAACGTGTGAGATTTTACTTTGCAATTATTGCAAGAAACTTCAACTTTAAATAACTTTAAAATGATTTAATATTTTTTGGAAGATGACCCGACAGAGTGGTCAACACACTGTCCATTCACTTCACCTCTAGGACCTGGGCTCAACCCAGGCCAGATTAATGGATGAAAAGAAATTCAAGAACTTCCCTCTTCACATATCAAAATTGCCTAGTTGTTAGCTTAGTTTAGTTGGTATCACTCTTGCCTCAGGCTCAGAAGGTTGTGGGTGCAAGTTCCAAGTTGGGACTTGAGCTCAAAGTCTAGGTTGAAGGTCGAATGCAATACTGGGGGAGCACTGCATTGTTGGGACATCCTCCTGACATGAAAGGCGCTTTATAAAGGCAATTTTTGTTGTTGTTTTGGAGGTGCCATCTATTGAATAAGACATTAAACTGAGGTACTCCCCTACTACTGCACTGGAGTATCAGCCTAGTCTATGAGTTCAAAGTCCTGATGTGGACCAGAGGTGTGAGTGCTACCAACTGACCAAGGCTAATACCGTTACAGTTAAAAAAAGGTACTTGTGGTCATTTATCTCACGGTTGTTTGTGGGATGTTGTTGTATTAAAAATAACAGCTGTATTTACTGACAAAAACAATCATTACAGTTCACAGTAATTATTGTAAAGCACTTGGGATATTCAACGTGATAAGGTACTCTAAAAATGCAACTTCTTTCTTTTTCAACCTAGATAAGATGTGTATATCTGAGCATTCACACTTAGGCAACTGTTAGGAAAATTATAGCTTTAAAGGGGGCGGAGTGGGGGTGGGGATGGTGGGGGGGGAGATGAGATGAAGCTGAAAGGATCTGCCATCAATTTTCTCAAAATAATATCACTTAAACTTGACAACATTTCGAGAATACTTCCTCTCCACTGCTTTAAAAAAAACAAAACTGATAAATGGTGTTGTGTTGTGGGAGGCAACAGGAAGCCATCTGTTGCAATAGAGGGGCAAAACCCAAAGCACTTTATCATAGAAAGTTTATAACATCGAGGAAGTCCACAGTGTTGGTGCTAACCCCCTTACTGGGGATATCTATTCAAATTGTGCTCTCCTGCTCTTTTCCCATGTTCTCTTATATTGTTCTTCAAATATTCTCACACTCACCTACAAATCACTTAATTCCCTGGCAGCTCTCTACCTTTCCGACCTGCTCACGCCCTACTCCTCTGCCTTCCTCCTTTGCTCAGCTGGCTCGTGTTTTCTGCGGGTCCCTCCACCGTCAGCGGCCGTGCCTTCAGCCAGTATATCCTGGAACTTCTCGTCTCAACCCCTCTGCCTTGCCCCCTTTGCCTGTTTTCAGACCGAAGGCCTTCCTCCTAAACTGTGTCTTCACTCACTTTCCCTTTCTCTCCCCGGCTCTGAGTCAAACCACACCATAGATAATTGCCCCGAGATACTCCCCACGTGATGGGCGATGGATAAATGCAACTTTGTTTTATTTTTCCACTGTATTCATGCAGCATTGCAATATTCATATTGAATGCAAGGAGGAAAATATCTAAATACAAGAGGCAAAGAAAAAACTTTGGCCATGGATTCTCCTTCACACAATCATCAATTTAGTTTTCTTCATCAAAGCTTCCCTTGTAACATTTAACTGAAACAGGAACCAGTTTTGAGGATCAGCCACATTAAAGGGGAACTCGAGTCTAGAGGGAATATTTTAGTTCAAAATAGCCTCACCAGAAAAATAACAGCTATGAGATGATTCTTTTCCAATGCTGGGAATACAGAGAAGGGATGGATGGAATATGCAATATGCAAAACAGTACAAAATGTGTATTCCATGTCAGGAAAACATCCTAAGGTGCCTAACAGTCCTGACTTGGCAAATGAGCTGTGGAGGAGAAAGATGACCGAAAACGCGGTCAAAGAAATAGGTCTTGAGACGGTCCTTGAATAAGATGAGAGAGGGAGTGAGTCGGAGGGATTCCGGGATGGAGTTCAGAAAGTGGTGTTGGTGGACAAAGAGGCTATATAGAGAGGTTATTCCACCACCCCTCACCATTTCCAGAGGAATTAGTTTGAACAAAATAAATAGTTTTGAACTTTTGTTCTTTTTATCTAATCTTCCGTGATGTGAGGTGAGGTAAAATAAATAAGCAGTCACACTGTGTGTGATTGCTTCCTTTGTTATTATCTGTGGGATCTCAGTGCTCGTGGAGACACACTCCACATTTAACAGAAGCTCAGAGATCACAGAGGTCTCAGGTGTTAAAACTGCTCGCTTCAACTTGATAATGAATCCAGTTAATAGTAATTGTATTGCACACGAGCTTTCAGAACCTCTAGGGGTATTATTCATTCTGTTATCACAGCTAGAGACCGAGATGTCCCGATGATGTGAAGGTGCAATCTGATCTGCTAATTTAATAAAAACACACCAATTTGCAGTCACAATGATGGCTTGCCCACCTCGCATTTCAAACACAAGAGTCTCTTCTGCCCAAATGTGCTAATTTAGATGCAAAGTCAGGATCAAATGATTCTTTACCTAAAGGTTGTGCGCTGGTGAGAAAAAATATTAACGTAAACCAAAGGCACAAGTGAGGGTGGATTTTTGCATTAAGTGTGTTTAGTGAGCAGGTTAAACACTGTGAATGAGATGGCTTCTTTGTTATGGCAACTCTCCATTTCTCTCGTCACCCGTCCTTACTCTGAAATTGTGGTTATGTTGTCATTTTGCTTTCAATGGAAATTCAGGCTCTGCAGACAGATTATATTACTTTTATTTTTTTAAAAAAAGCAATTACAGGTCTGGAAGACAGTCAGTGTTAAATAGAATCAATCTCACTTTGAATGACTGCAGCTGTTCTCTGCATCAACATCGTGACATCCACGTTTAAGAATGACTTTTTTAAAAAAAACATTATGTGAAACAGCTTTCAATAACCCAATGATTAATATTTACCTCGATTTGATTTTCATTCATTTCTTTAATTGTTTTTTGCGATAGCTGAGTACACAGATCATGTGTATAGTCGCCAACAAAACACACAGCCTCCACACACCCTGTGAAGCGCTTTGGGATACCTTCCCCATATGCAAGGCTTCAAATCAAATGCAACAATTTATTATTACTATTAATTTACTTCTCATTTTGAAAGGCATCGATCTTCAACTTTGACACCAAAGGACAGAACAGTCGGGGGTGGTGGGGGGAGGAGGAAATGCTCCAATTATTATTAAGTATGACAAGCACAAAGATCACACAGTTTTCATTCCATGTTTATCACCCGTCTATCTTAAGCTGTGCATTACCGAATAGGACGTTAAACCATCATTCTTATGTGAGGGTTGCTGGCAGCCGGCAGATTGTGATGCACTTGAATAATAAGTCTGCCCTCTGCTGCTTATAAATATAGCAACGTTATCCCATCTACCTCTCTCCCGTTTGTATAGGAGACGCACATTCCTTTTCCTCAGTACTCACAGTAATTTGACACCAAACACAGTGGAGACCGGTGAGACCCTGGTAACATTTAATGCTTTTGTGGCATTTATCGCATTTGGTTGGGGAATTCCCTTCAACCCAAACGTGTTGCATAACCTGTTGGGAGAAGAGAGGAGAGTAGGGGTGGGGGCGTTAAAGCAGAGAAAGGAAACACATCAATTCGATACTTTGCTACTTTTTAAGATTGCGGACGGATGTTTGAGAGTGTTGCTGAGACTCCAGTGCAGTGCTGGGGGTTCCTGCATTGTCAGAGGTGTAATTCCTTGGATGAGACGTTAAACCGAGGTTCCATCTGCCTATCCAGGTGGCATTAAAGATCCTGCAGCACTATTTGAAAAGTGAAGCTAGCTTCTCCCAGTGGCCCGGCCAACAACTCCTCACAACAAAATTGGTAATTCACTCCATGGCTGTTTGCGCTGTGCACAAAACTGGCTTCCGCATTTGCCCAAAAAATACATACAGTCACTACACTTTACTGTATATCCTGTGGAACGCTTTGAGAGATCTTGATGTGATAAGGCATTGCAGCACTGGAGTGTCATCTTTGGGCTTGAACCCACAACCGTCTGACTCAGAGGCGAGAGTGAGGCTAACTGAGCCAGGCTGACAGAAGAGAGAAGATTGGCAACAAAACTACAAAATGATGACAAATAAGAGTCACCACGACAAAAATGTGGTAAGATACTACTCAAAAGATCTTCATTCTATCGAGGATTAAGTTGTTATAACAATGGCACTTTTGCTGGGAATGGTTGTAAGAAATTTGCAACACTATTTACTGAAGAATTACAGTACAGTATTACTGTAACTACTGACAAACAGCGAGTGGTACCTACATTGGTATTTCTCCTGGATTTTACATATGTGCTTATGCAGGATGCAATTGGTTTGGAGACACATCTCTCATGGACTGTGTACTTGCAAACTGAAACAAATAGAAAATGGGTTAAGTAATTTTTACCTCTCCGTCTCTCAGCGCTTGTTTCTCCTGTGACACAACTGAACTATCGACCCGAACCACATTAGCGGTCACATAGCAGCACTTCCAATAGCGTCTCTGTAAGTGCTTACTATAACTAAACATGAAATAAACAAGATGTAGACTTGGCCATCCCTCCTGCTCGCTCTCTGGCATAGTTTCTGTAAAGAGATGTTACCCTATGCGAAATGCACACTATCACTACACTTTAAAGTAGAATCCTGTGAAGCATTTTGAGACACGTTGATAACGTGATAAGATACTATACCAAATGCCAGGATGATTATTTTGATTATTTATATGAACTTTGCAGAGAATACCTCCCCCTCTGAGATTTTGCCTTAAATACAGTTCTAAGACGACAGCCAGTGAACACAAAATGGCTAATGACTTAATTTGGACGGAGTTTAATGCCCCAATTACAAAGCTATTTCCTGTCTGCAGTGTAGAACAAAACAAAGCTGTGACACTGAGGTCACCTCGATCCAATATTAACTATAAGCAGCTCCTGGGAGAGGGCTCAGACACGCTTGCCTGAGATACAAGGAAGAGTTTGTAGAGTTAACATTTTGAAACGTGTTAACAAACCCGTAAGAACAAGCCACACAGTCTCTATGATCAGAAAATGTGTTCTCAATTTGGAGGAGCATCCTTGCTATCAACAAAGGTGTCGAAGTTTCTACAAACAAATTGTAAATCAATTTTCTGGCTTCCTAGATACCCAGTGAAAGCTGCAGGAATAGGAAAAAGAAGACCGGTGTTTCGGAAACACTTCAGTTAACTCTGGTGTTAGCATTGTCCTCTGTTATGTAAGCAAACATGAAAATAATCAGGATTGCCAGGGTGCACAGGAGCATCCTATCTAATACCTGGAGGAGCTGAGCATCCACACACGGCTAAAGTAGTCCCTGAATTCCCATTGCACTTGTTCTGTAATTTTTTGAAACAACGAGCATCTGGTCATAATGACCAGTGCCCCAGCCAATTGATTTTAAGATGTCGTGACCTTAATCTTTTCACCACCTCATTCTCTTCCTATACAATTTCCTCCAACCCCACTCTCTTGCTTATACTCTATTCCACTTACGCCCCCTCCTGCTCCACCATCGGTAACCAATCCCTCAACCTCTATCCACTGGCTGGCTGAACTCTCGTCCAAGATACTGAAAGGGTAGTTTTTGCTTCCCTTTATCTCTCTCTCTTCAAAAATCTCCCCAAAACATTTTCACCCATCCGCCTGTTCAGTAACTCCAATATTTCCTTTGTATTTGTTCTGGAAGTCCTGAAGTGCTTTGAAACAATGCCCTAGCTAGAAAGCATTATATGAGAACAAGGGGTCCTGTTATTTCAAACATATCCGTGGACGGTTTAACCACAACAGCAACTTGCATTTAGATACGAATTTAGAACTTGCACCCAGGATACCTTCTCGGAGTGCTGCAGAGTGACGGGCTGGGCACTTAGATTTTCAGGACTTAAGAATGGTTTAATGATGAAATAATTTAGTACATTTTTTTTTGTCAGCCGGGTGTCTGACACAAGCGAGTACCCATCACGATGCTTAAGAGTGCTCCAAACTAAGCTGAGATTTCCATGCACTCCGGCTACACATGGAAACCCCAGAGATAGATTGTTGTATGGAATGCACACTCTCTCCCTGGAGGGATGCATCCTGCTCACCTAACTGCGGAAAGGATTAGGTGTAGGTTGGCAAGAGCCAAGGCTTGGGGACCCCAGAGTGTGCGTTGGGGCAACTGCTGGAGTCTAACCAGCTAAAACTGCATAGCTTGCCATTTATATAGTTGTCTGGCAAGCTTTCCTGCTGTTTGTCCAGCTTTAGTACAATTACACAATATCTGTTGCTAATTCAAAACTAAATTTGCTTAAACCGTTTATATTTACATACTGCCAAGGTTTAACAGCCAAACATTTTTCAATGCAGCCAAATGATCCCGATCCAATGTTGCAAAGTTTTTTTTTAAAATAAACAATCACTGTGTAACCTGGAGCCTATTTGAAGAGGTGTATATACCTATACATGCATGTAAACAAATACCTGACACCAATCTGTAACTACTTCAGTCAATTGTACAACTAAACCCACAGAATATACTCACATAAAGCACAAAGTCACACTGCCTTACAGACTGCCCTTTGAGATGTCTCAGCAATTTGATAAGGCATTGTATCAGATGCAAGGATTATTTATTCATTTATTTAAAATGTTGGAAGCATTTACTTACATGCACAGCAGAGACCCTGTTTTCTAACACCCAGCAGCATATTCAGGCAGAAGTTACAGTATGCAGGCTTATTGAAGTGTTTCAGTCGCCAGAAGTGTTGACCATCGTCTTTCACATTCTGCGGAGTGTAAAGAAATACCCACATAATCAGGTTCCACCATCAAGGAGAGCCAGCATATTGAAATGCTGGACAAGTTCATTTCGCTCAGCCATTACAGTTTGGAATCTTTAGTCTTTCCAGGTTACGTACGTTATGTATGCAGCGTGTATTTTACCCATTTCTGATGAGAATGAAGTGCGTTCAATTCATTTTTAATAATAAATAAAAACCTTGTATTTGACATAATACCTTACATCGTCATCGAGACACCTCAAAGTTCTTCAAAAGAATATACTGTAAAGTGTACGCCCACTGTGTATTTTGTGGGCGAACGCAGCAGCCAGTTGCGCATAGCAATGTCCCGCAAACAGTCATTTTTTAAAAAATATATATTTCGGGGATTCATAGTACCATCAACATCCACCTGAACAGGCAGATAGGACCTCGGTTTAACGTCTCATCTGAAGAATGGATGGATATAGACATGGATATAGCTGACCAGAGCCAATTCATCATCGTAACTGAGTAAATCATAACATGGTATTATGGAAAATAATATTAATATTATTATTACCTAACACCAATAATAGTAATAATAATGTTCAGAGTTTAAAAANCTAATGCTTAACAACTGCAAATTATTTAACATTGCAATACACATTCTGTACAAATAAGTGATAGCACCTGCAATGCTTTTCTCTAATGAGTTAGAGGATAACAACTAAGTTATTGAGTCTGTTCTATTGAGTATAACTACCGGTGCAGTGATGACAGATAGTGACATTTAATGGTTTCTCCCTTGAGGGGCACTGGGAACTAATCTGCACTAGTTTGCTACTCTGGAGAGCTTTTGTTTGTTCCTGTTACTGTTTCCAACGTGGAGCGATGCGTATTGGTAAAACCTGGGTAACTTTTGATTCTAGTTCCTCATTTCTATTTTGCAATCTTTATTACAAGAACCTAAACTTTATATAGCAGCCTTCATTTAGTCTCACGTCTCGGAACATTTCACATTAGCAGTGTTGGACTGCGTGCATGTGTGGAGGGGGTGAGGTGACCATAGACGTGATCAAAGAGATAGCTTTTTAAGGCAGGATTTAAAGAAAGTTGGTGGGAGGGGGGGGGGGAGCAAGATGGAGGAGTAGAGGGCATTCCGAAAGGTGGAGGCATGGATGCTAATGGCTCCAGAACTAGAGAGGATTAGAGAAGTTAAGTCAGGAAATGTTGAATGAGAGTATTTGGTGGCATTTTGTGTATTAGCCCACGAAAGACACCATGAATGGACTTTACGTTATATCTCGTGAGGCACTTTGGGACATCTTCCTGATGTGAAAGGCGCTGTACCAAATGCAAGGATTAATATTGCGTTTCGATAGGGATGGAGTCGGGAACTGAAGGTGAGGAACATGAGGAAGGAAAGAGACGAGTTGCGAGGATCTACGTTAAGGCTGGGGACCATTGGGATACTTGGCAGATGTAGAATGGCTCATTCTCTTTTGTTTACATGGTAGAATTGTATACAATTGTGGTCCTGGGCAGCAAGTGTTGTGCACATATGCAGCCATTCCACCTTGGGCAATAAAATAAATCATTTGGTGCTGCACGACTAGCTGCAGTCAGAAAATCAGTCCTCGTGTTCTTAAGATTTCTTGGCAGCAAAACAGATGAGGCATCACAATTGAGCAGCCAGTTTAACTGCACCATTTAATCCATTGACATTTTCATCTTTATTGTTAGCGCATTGCATCTGTGCTGTGTTGCAAAGTTCAGCGGGCAGACATTAGGGTATGTGACTAGTCAGCATATTCAGTAATACGCTTCTCCTGAACCCTCTTGCATTTTCATTGGAAAGTTTCAGCCTGGCTCAGTCGGTAGCGCTCTCACCTTTGCATCAGAAGGATGTGGATTCAAGCCCCACTTTGGGACTTGGGACTCATAAGTCTACGCTGACACGCCAATGTAGTGCTGGGGTGTGCTGTATTGTCAGAGGAGCCGTCCTTCGGATGAGACATTAAACTGAGGCCCCATCTGACTTGTTCAGGTGACATTAAAGATCCCATTGAACGACTCAGAAAGAAAAGGGAGTCTCTCCTCGATGATAAAATTGGTCATTCACTTCATGGCTGTTTGCGAGACAATGCTACGTGCAAATTGGCTGTCACATTTGCCCACAAAACACAGTTACTGCATGTTACAATATATCTCGTGAAGCACTTTGGGATGACCACTCGATGTGAAAGGCACTATATCAAATGTAAAGTTCTTCCTTCCTTCCTTCCTTCCTTCCTTCCTTCCTTCCTTCCTTCCTTTCTCTTTCAGTAATTAATAGCCATGCACTCACCGTCTCCATGCCAAGAAGCACCAATAATGGAATAGTGGTCATTCCTCCTCTTATCCACTCTTCTAGTGTAACTGTACCATCGTGATCATAGTCTATTTCCTCCATCATCTCCATAAGGATCTGCAGTGTTAACACAGAGAAGCTTCAAATGGAAATCCATTTTCAATTGCACAAAACCAAAGTCAAGAGCATTTATCAGCCAGCAGGAAAACTGACCCTCAGGATGTTTTAGTTTATAAGATGCAACAAAGAATGTTGAAATGGCAGTGGTTTAGAGTCCTGCCCACAGTACATTACAAACTGCTGCTAATTCCTTTAACTAGCTCAATAATCCAGCATTAAGATTTGAGTGATACGTACAGGCCGGAGCTCAGTCGCATCCCACTCCAGGTATTCAGCTACATGAACCATCTGGTTGATGATACGATCTAATTCCTATGGTTTGGGATGAAAAATTATTATTACAACAACAACAACAGCAAGCTGCACTTATATTTAGCTAAAGAATTAATGTTTCTCATAACAAATCCTGGAACATTGTGAAACATGCTCACAGGGTGATGTTAAAAAGTTACAGCAACCATTAGTTAAACAAAAAAAACTTATCTGAGCTTTACTTAGGACCAACCCTGAGCAAAAGTCAGCAGCGTATTGGCAGTATAACTAATCTGTTGGCTCTATATTGCCAGTGTATAGGAAACCCATTCATTTGCTGTATGGAATCCAAGTGCAGTTAAAATTTTCCCATAATGAGCATGTTACATAGGTTGGCGGAAAGAGACAGAACAGTTTTGCAAAAAAGTTATCAGTGGAAGTAAAGTTAAGTGGAAGTAAAACTTACCGAACTATCTAGCAGACCATTTCCATCCGTGTCATAAAGTCGAAACATAACTGTTAAGGAAATGGACATCAGAACACTCAGAATATTTCCCGGCTAAATAAATCTATTTTAACTGAAGATTTGTACTGCAAATTGAACACACTCCACCCAGAAAACAACAATTTGCACTTGCATAGTACCTTTCACCAAATTAAATGTCTCAAAGCGCTTAAGAGATGAGACTTTTTGTTCCATGGCCTCAAGTCGTCAGTTTGCAACAATGAGAATCTTGCCTAAGCCATTGCTGCCCCAGATCAATTTCAGTACGAATTGCTGCACAGATCTTCAGAGGGCAGATAGGGTTCTCCTGTGATGGCCTATTCACTAAAATAGCGCATCAACGGTCATGGTCAAGGCTCACATACACCAACAACTTGCATTTATAGAGCACCCTTCATAAAGGGTAGTGTCATGGAATACCTAAGAGTGGTGGAGTTCGACACCAAGCGAGGGAGAGTTTTATTACCCTGGTGTTGTGTATCACTTCTCAGTTTTCCCCATATCTAAGAACGATCAAAGATGAAGGTCATCAGGTGTGATCTGAAGACAGGCAGACAGAGGCGTTGAGGCAGAGAGTTTCAGAGTTCAGGACCTAGTAACTGAAAGTGCGGCTGCTGATGGTGGAGAGGAGGGGACAAGGGATGCAAAGGAGGCCAGAGCCAGATGAATTAGATACAAGATACAGGAGAGCCCCAACTGTCCAAAGTAAGATATCTCGGTAGAAGGCAAACACAGTCAAAACAACTTTTACAGAAGATGAGAAAAACTGGTGAACAAAAGCTCTGAAATATTGCAAAGTCCTGACTTTCTAGGTTAAGGTGGAGGGGTGGGGGGATGGGGGGATGGTTCAGGACATGAGAATAATTGTCGGAGAAACTATTTGAGGCTCTTTAAATGTAACTACAAAATCCTCTCACATGTCTTAATTCTCTCAATTATGCCAGCACAGGGCAACGATAGAATTATCTACTGATCAATAATGGTTCACTGAAAGAGAGCAAAGTACTGCTGGGTTTCCATTAAAAGGCACTTTGTGAAACATTAGTATTAGAATCTAATAGCAGACTGAAGGCACAATGCTGAGCACATCTGCCTTTAACATTCAGAGAGAGAGAATGCAGGAAATTGCTCCAATAAGGAAGGCATCCTTGCGAGTCAGAGTTGAATGAAATCCGAGCTGAAACCTCCATGATAAGAATGACCTTCAGAATCCTTCAACTGCACAGACCCAAACTGGATAGTTGAATGATTACTCAATGCTAAGGAACTAGGTGTCACAGCACTTATATAATTAGATCCAGGACCATATTGTGATAAGGAGACAGTGGCACAACCTGAACACGTTGAACAGTATTTTTAAAGTTCCAGCCGATGAATGCAACACCAACACATAAATAGCCGAGCCCCGCCCCGAGATGTTTTATTACCCTGGCGTTGTTTATCACTTCTCAGTTTTCCCCATATGCATTCCCCCCACTCCCCCGCCCACAGTCTTTCAGATTTCTTTTATCTTTCATTCGTGTACATCTCTTCCCCCTCCACAAACTTGATCACATTTCTCTTTCCTGCTTACCATCACACTTACATTACACCTTCAGAGTGAAACAATACTATAAATCTGCTATAACACTGCATTATACAGAGATGAGTAACAGTAACTGCAATTGGGTTAAAGAATCGGAAAATATCATGATAAGTAGGCACCTGGAATCATATTTCAAACACATCACTCCGGAAAACAAACAAGGGGATATTTCAGACATAATCTGAGCATCTGTTGTCAGTTGTCAGCTGGGATCATAATTTTGGCTGGCCTATGAGGACTTTGGGAAGGTAAGTGGAGTCTCCTTGGAGTTGAACTGGCTCCAAGGACGTCAGAATCGGGTCAGTTTCGGTCGTCCAGTTCCTGAGCCAGGTAGGTCCAAGGCACAGCTGATGATAGACCAGCCATCGGTAGGGCTTGGAAGGGGAGACTGAGTACTGGGATTCTTCCTACTCAGCTCCTGTTAACCCTATGAACCAAAGTTCTAATGTGGTCTAATCTGGACAAGCAGCAGGAAGCTTGCCTGGCAGGTGCTTTCAGTGGCAAGCTGTGTGGTTTTGGGATGGTTAAACTCCAGCAGTATCCCACTCTGCGACTTTAATTAGCCGGGTTCCCAAAACTTCAGCTCTTGCCAATCTGTGCTGAATACTCGCAGAACTAGGTAAACAGGTGTGTCTCTCTGTGGAGAGAATTCACATTCCATTGTAGATACATCGGAATTTCCATGTGCAGACAGTATACGTGGAGCTCTCAGTCAGGATTGTTTAACTCTTAAGCACAGCGATAGATTTCTGCTGGCGTCAAAACACCTGGCTGACAAAAATCTATCCTGAGATGGGATTATACCTCAATAACCAACCTCAGTTCTGTGCACAATTATAGTACATAACTTTCAGAATCATTATTATTTAACATTGGGCACAACTGCAAGATTTTAAACACAAAAAGTGTACAATGGCCTCATATTGAATTCTCATATCATACATGAACTTGTATGTGTATATACACACACACACACTCACAAGTGTGCACAACAGATACAGTACTTCAGATGCCCTCAACAGCGGTAACCCATTTTAATTTAAATCTGATTCACTTCAATATCTATTCTAAACACAGATAATGGGAGATATTAACCAGTGTTAACAAATGAAGGGGACGAACTTCAAACCTAACTCAGGCTTCCTGCCCGTCCCCACCCTCTCCGCACTACTATCGGTGGCCGAGCTTTCACTAAGTAAAAGTGCATTTGTTTTACTCAAAATGCATACAAATTAAGTTTTGAGAACCAGCATTGTAGATTCTGGGCAATTGCCTGAAAAACAAAGGTTATTGTTTAACCTTTAGTGGCAGCAATAGATAGGCATCTCTAATTGCTGTTTGCTACGGATGGAACTCCAACACTGAAAGCAGCAATTAACCTTCCCCAGTTAATAACAGCAGCTCTGTGACCACATCGGTGGGAAAGGTTATCAGTACAAATATCTCACTTCACAGTTCAGTAACAGGGAGAGAGGAAACAGCATAATGAACCTTGGTGCTTTCATTCAAAATCCCCATTGATCAAGATGTGGAACAGCTTTCTAATTCTTGTGAGCTTTGGGTGATTATCTGATCTGAGGAAGGGATCAATTAAAAAGCACTTGTGGGTGGCCTTGTTCAAAATCTGAGCTCAGCCACACCACTGATCGTCAAAACTTCAATTTTATAACCCGGCTCAAAAGGAAATGTTGGCAAATCATGAACAAAGCTCCCAATGGTTCAGTGGGTATGTGCGCAGTTATGGTGTGCTAAGTCAAAACCCATGTTCAATTGGGGGTCTGTGTTGAGTTAGCTAGCCTCAGGAACTATGATTGTCCGTGATAATAATAATAATCCTTGTATTTGATATAGCGCCTTATCACGTCATTGAATCGTCTCAAAGCGCTTCGCAAGATAATAATAATAATAATAATCCTTGCATTTGATATAGCGCTTTTCACGTCTTTTAGACGTCCCAAAGCGCTTCACAGACTATACTGTAAAGTGAATTGACTGTATATTTGTGGGCGAACGCGGCAGTCAATTGCGCACAGCAGTGTCCCACAAACAGTCATGGATTGGAAATGACCAATTTATTATTGTTTTGTTTTTTGGAGGGATTATTATTAGGCGTGTGGAGTAAGGAAACTTGCCCAAGGTTTCGCCCTGCCTGGAATAGAACCCAGGTCTCTCACGTGCAAAACGAGCGCTCTAACCACTGAGCTACAGGACTCCACGTCCTTGATACACTATAAAGTGGAGCGACTGTGTATTTTGTGGCCGAAACACAGCAGCCAGTTGCACACAGCAATGTCCCACAAACAGCCATGAGGTGAGTGACCAATTTTATTTGTGGGATTGATGGCCAGGACAACCTTCTCTTTGGTGCCATTATTATTATTAATAATTATATCATGTCCTTGGGGTGAGGGGACAGGGATTGATTCCCGAAGAACAGCTACTGATCTCAGCTACTGCAAAATGTGTGTATAGATGTTGAACTGAGGGAAAGATCAGGCTAAACTGCATTCCTCATCTCTCTCTTCGTCCCCACTTCCATGTACATACCCCGCTTATTACAGGTGTCAGCCTGGCTTAGTTGGTAGCACTCTCACCTCCGAGTCAGAATGTTGTGGGTACAAGCTCCATCTTGGGATTTTGAACTCACATTATCTAGGCTGACCATCCAGTGCAGTGCTGGGCGGAGCACTGTCCTATTTGCCGGACCTCGGAAGAGAAATTTAACCTGTGACCCATCTGCCTGTTCAGATGAACATTAAAGATCCCATGGCACTATTCAAAAAGAGAAGGGAGTTTCTCCTGGTGTCCTGACTGTTTGTGGGTAATTGCTGTGGACAAATTGGTTACCTCATCGCCTCCAAATTACCCAAGCATTACACTTAACAGTATATTCTATGAACTGTTTTGAGATGTCCTCCCATTGTGAAAGGCACTATACCAATTATGAGGGTTTGTCTACTAATGCAGTCATTACACTTTGCAGTAAAACCCTGTAAAGTGTTTTGACATGACATGGCACTAAATCAAATGCAAAATTTCTGTCTTCATGAAAATGTTAAAGTGATAATGGGATTACAATGCCTGACCTTCAGTTCTGTGATGTATATATAAAACATATTATGGAGCTCAGTCGTTAGAGCACTCGCCTTACAAGCAAGAGACCTGGGTTCGATACCCGGCAGGGTGAAACCCTGGGCTACTTTCCTTACTCTACACGCCTAATAATAATCCCTCAAGAAAAAAAACAATTGGTCACTTCAACCCACGACTGTTTGTGGGACACTGCTGTGCGCAATTGGCTGCCGTATTTGGCCACAAATATACAGTCAATTCACTTTACAGTCTATTCTGTGAAGCCCTTTGAGACGTCTAGAAGATGTGAAAAGTGTTATATCAAATGCAAGGATTATTATTATATTTTTATTC